TTTTTTTGGGGGTCCGATGGAGTTTCACTGTTGTTGCCCAGGCAATGCAATGGTGCGATCTTGCCTCACTGCAACCTCCGCCTCCTGGTTTCAAGCGCTTCTCCTGCCTCAGTCTCCTGAGTAGCTGGGATTACAGGAGCCCACCACCATGCCTGTTTTTTGTATTTTTACTAGAGTAGGGGTTTCACCATGTTGGCCAAGCTAGTCTTATAAACTCCTGATGTCAGGTGAACCACCCACCTCAGACTCCCTGTAATCCCTGGGATTACAGGTGTGCCCAGCCGTCTGGTTCCTGAAGTATAAGGCAAAAAAACAGGAAATCTGAAAATCGTATGGCTGATGTTCCGGAGATATAGCTTTAGATGAAACTTGCCAGTCTATGGAGTGGTCTTTTTAACCTGATTATCTACCATGATCAGGTTATTTTTTGTTTGTTTTTTGTTTTTGAGATGCTGTGTTGCCCTGTTGCCCAGGCTGGAATGTAGTGGTGTGATCTCGGCTGACTGCAACCTCTGCCCCCCAGGTTCAAGCAGTTATCCTGCCTCAGCCTCCTGAGTAGCTGGGACTACAGGTGCATGCCACCACTCGTGGCTAACTTTTCTGTTTTAGTAGAGATGGGGTTTCACCATGTTGCCCAGGCTGGTCGAGAACTTCTGAGCGCAGGCAATCTGCCTGCCTGGGTCTCCCAAAGTGCTGGGATTATAGGCATGAGCCATTGCGCCCAGTCTATTTTTGCTTTTTTTTGTTTGTTTGTTTAATATTAGTAATCAGTTAACCATTGGGTCAATAAACTTTTCTTCTAAAAATGTGAATGAGTTAATTCCAAATGCTTTCTAATTCAGGTAAAATAGCTATATTGATATTTAAATTTTGGTTTACAGTAGAAACAAAAATCTAGGGGCCATAAGGATTTTTATATAAGTAGGCCTTTAGAATTACAACTCTACTTTTATCCCTGTATTTAGAAAAGTATAGAGACGTGAATGGCTGAGGGAAAGGAATTCAGAATATAGCGGACATGCTAACAACAGACCGGGTGCTTTGTAATAAGGTGTGTTTTTATGCATTGAGTTTAGGTCTCAACAGGCAGGTGTTACATTTGAAATAACCCTGTATGCTTCAAGATAGGAGGTTTCAGTGCCAAGGTACTGGAGGGCCAGTTCAGTTAAAACCTTCAGAGAAGCAATTTATTATTTTTATTTGTTTGTTGAGACAGAGTCTTGCACTATCACACAGGCTGGAGTGCAGTGGTATCGTCATAGTTCACTGCAGCCTTGAATTCCTGGGCTCAAGCGATCTTCCCACCTCAGCCTCTCTAGTAGCTGGGACTACAGGTGTGAGCCACCACACTCAGCTAATTTTTTTATTTTTATTTTTTACTAGAGACAAGGGCATGCTTTGTTGCCTAGGCTGGTCTTAAACTCCTGGCTCGAAGCGATCCGCTCATCATGGCCTCCCAAAGTGTTGGAATTATAGTCTTGAGTCACTGCGCTTGGCCCACAATATAAATAACAAAGGAACATATCACCATAAGTGTAGCTTGCTATATTGTTGGTAAATAATTTTAATAGTTCTAATTACAGTCCTTGGGTAAATCATCTCCCTTATCCAAGATGCTAAGTACAAAGTTCGCTACAAAGAAGATTGGATGAAGAGACAGGTTTGAGAAAGTAAGAATCTTAGAGGGGTTAGTTTATAATAACACATAATGCCTTACATTGAAGTTATTTGTGTCATACATAACACATCTCTTACTCTGTAGTGGTACACCTTGAGGAGAAGAGAGCGTTTTTCAGTTTGAATTTTATTCCATCCAAGTGCAGGCTCTTTCTCACAGTATGCTCTTAAGAATTTGTTGGCCGGGCGCGGTGGTTCACGCCTGTAATCCCAGCACTTTGGGAGGCCGAGGCGGGTGGATCACGAGGTCAAGAGATCAAGACCATCCTGGTCAACATGGTGAAACCCCGTC